GGGGGGGGGGGAGGAGGAGTTCTCCTTGAGCATCAAAGACTAAATGCCCAGGGAAAAGCCCTTTTAATGATAGCTGCTCCCTGTTATGCTAGGTTATTTTTAAAAAGAGGAAAGAAGAGGTTTGAGGAAGGGCTGGCTTAAAACCATGATTACCACTTTGCAACCTTGAAGAGAAATTGGTTGCTATCTTTGAAAAAAATGGACTTACTATCCATCCACCCTTCTCACCTTTAGTGAGGTGGGTTGGACTGAGAGAGCCGACTGGCCCAAAGTCACCAAGCCATCTTATATGCCTAAGGGAGGATTAATCTTGGGTTTATTGCACCCTTATCTGATTTTGAAGCTACTCATCAGGCATAAAAAGAGATATAATTGTATCAGAATCAGCACAGATTTAATAAACAGCCCCGTGCAGGCCTTCTAGTATATCAGACATAAGGGAAAACAAACAGCAGGGACACAGAGAGGTGTGCAAGCCCACCCCTGCCCCAACTGCTTATAAAAACCTACATGAATTTAGGGCTGCAAAAAGACCCATGCTTTGTCAAGGTCTCAGCTTCTCAAAGCAAAGTTCTGGGAGCTGGAAGTGCCTTCTACACACGCGAGAAGCCTCTTCCAATTCTTTCTGCAAGCTACTAGAAGTGTCAGACCACAGGTCAAAGTGCTGCATCGCCGCTTATCTCTTTGCCTTCCCAAGCAGAACCGGGTCACAAAGTTTTATAAAGCTTCCCTTAAATGAGATTTATTAAGCATGAGCAACTGATCATTATTAAGGATTAGCCGCCCTTTCTACTAGAATGGCATTTGAACAACAACATAATTATTTCCAAAGGTTTAATAACAGGCTGAAAGAGGAAACACATATCTTGAAATAACTTAATATCTGCACAGATGTTCCCACCATATTTATCAAGGCCATACCAGCTTGAAATTATCAGCATTTAAGTCCCAAATCATCTGACGGATGCCAAATTGGGAAAGGTTATGCTAGCAAAATCTGGGTTGGGGAATCCCTGTTGCATTGTAGCAAACTTTTTGCATGATTCATGGGTGTTCCTCTCTCCCTCCATCCTAATGAAATGTCTTGGCAGATCTACCTTGTATGGTGGAAACAATCTACATTCAGGCATCACTAACATGGCAAGAACTTGTTCTGAGCCTCTTTTCTAAGCTGGAGGATACCATCAGTGCTGGCATGCTAAGCTGAATTCCCACCCAGCCTAATTAACATTTTATTGGCATGAATCTCACTGACGTGATCAGTTTAGAGACACCATTCATTTCCTGCCTAGTAGGTGACTCCATTGCTAGTTACATGGAGATAGCATTGCTACATTCTAAGCCAAACAGCTCAGTGGTAAATGCAATTACAGGTCTGATGGCATCTGGAAAAGGAATGCCTGGCAGATGGACCCTAACTCTCCTGGATGCCATATGTGCTGAAAGGTAGTATTCGACCAGCCTGCCTTCCTCAATTTGGACCTTAACTCCCAGAATTCTCAGCAATGCCATGCTGGCTGGGAAATTCTGAGAGTTGAAATTCTCAGGGCTACCCAGGTTGGGGAACACTGTTGACTAACACAGAATTTAGGATGTTGCTCAATATCAAGGCCATTTAGCAAAGCTCTTTATTTATTTATGGTCATAGATCAAAATAAGCACTGGATAATTAAATATTTACCTCTCCCCTATGAACCTGATTCTGGGTGTAGAAATCACCCACTGAGAACTATTCCAGGGTGTCCTCCAAGGGCAAACACCTGCCCAGAAATCAGTGGATTTTCTGCTAGTAGTGAATCTTCAAGCAAAGGCAGAAAACTTTTCATGGTGTGTGAAGGAAAGATTAAAAAAAAAATCGGTATCTGAGAACTGTGGGGAGCATAGCTTCAACGTTTCTGCCTTTTTGGGTGCTTCAAATATTATTTAAAGGCCAAAAAGGTTGTTAAGCTTAGCAGAAACTGGATGCAGCAATTGTTTTAACTCTTATTTTTCTTAAAAAGCAAGAAGTCCCACTGCTGTATTTCAGCGAACGGCTCTGGGTTGCCCATCTCCTAAGGAAAACTCACCAGATACCCCCTTTACAATCAAAATCAGAAAATATTTACTGTATTAATGATAGGTCATAGCTGAGTGCACAAAAGGATATGTTAATTAATACAACACAGGTAGAAATTTAAATGCCTGTTTAAGTAGGTAAGAAACGCTAAGTAAGAAATGCTGAGAAATTCTATAAATAAAATGTTTTATTATAATTTAACCAGCATAATAACTAGTAGATATTTTAATAAAGAATTGTGAAGAGCAAAGGAACAGATATGTTAAATCTTGGAAGGAAGTTCTGGTGGAATATTCTTCCTCCCCCCCTCCCATCAGCAAGAGGGTTTTCCTACCACTTAAATTAGTCTGAATGGTACAAAGGAAGAACTGAAAGATTTCCCAGAGTTTACATCAAAGTGAAGGAACATAAATAGGCTTTGTATAGCAAAAGCCCTCCCCTCTGACATTATCCTTAAAACAAGAAAAAGGACAAACGGAAGTCATCAAAATAACAATGTTCAGTGTCGACATTTTAAAAATAAGTTTAAATACTTGTGCTAAGTTTCAGTTGGCCATTCACACCCTTGTGGACGGTGGTGAATAAATGGAAATCCTATAGTTTGCATTATCTAAAGACAATGATAGCTTGGCAGGATGTCACGTATCTGAGCTCAAGGCACAGAAGATAAAGTATAATAAACCAAGGTAAGTGAGAAATCCAGAAGGAAGAATGGAAGCACGAGAGAGAGCTTGGTATCTCAGCTGTAAATGCCAGGAAGGGCAAAGGTGATAGATAGTCCCCCATGGACTTGGGAAAGACCAAATAGGTTGATGAATTAGTATGCTCTCCCTAGGCTAAGGTCAATGCCAGGAGATACTTAGATCTTTATTGCAGTATTTATTAACAAGTGAGCTTATCATTGCTGGTATTCTGGAAAGCCTTAACAAACATGGCTGTTTTCCCAGGATGAGGATTGGAAGGTTAATGGCAAAAAATTGAAGGGGAAGCAAAAATTTAGCTCTCCAGGGCATTATCTGCAGCACTGATGGGATAAGCTCATCTCCCCTACTGGGCAAGAATCTGGGTTGCCCAGAAGTGAAGGGAAGAAAGGCCAACTAGTCTACATATTCCAAGAAATCAGAGAGGTTTTTAGGGCTGATCTTGCTTGAACCCATCTGGATACATCTGCTGCAAGCACCCAATCCGCATAACAATCCATATATTGGAAGGTTAATGGCAAAAAATTGAAGGGGAAGCAAAAATTTAGCTCTCCAGGGCATTATCTGCAGCACTGATGGGATAAGCTCATCTCCCCTACTGGGCAAGAATCTGGGTTGCCCAGAAGTGAAGGGAAGAAAGGCCAACTAGTCTACATATTCCAA